TACTCATTCACAGATTCCACGATAGTTATGCTACATTGGTATTATTATATCAAGGCCCTCACCCCAGTCTCCAAATGTCTGGTCTATCTTTGGTATCTTTATTGCAGTCACTGCCTCTACTTGCAAATGTCGAAAAATGTTCATCTGTTTCTCATCTATGTGAGCAAATGGCTCTTCTGTGGACGCGAGCTAGTTTTCATGATGTTTTAGAAATGTCTCCAAAGTACATGTCTTTCTTAACGTTCCTATTCGTTTTGTCACATAAATGTGCTTCTAGTGACAGACGTTGCACATATGTAGAGCAATTATGAAATGTGAACTGCTATTTAAAGGATTTCTTTCATACTGAGGATATTTTGTAGAGCATACTGTGTATTTAAAGGAAAATTAACTTCAATGCAAGATAAGCTCAATCAACAGCTTTTGTAGCATAGTGTTGATAACCACCAAAAACTAAACTTAAGGTTACTGTGAGGCAATTTCTGGAGGATTTAAAAGCAGAAATTAGAAGCTTATAATCACATTCATTTGTACATGAATTATTCTGCTAACGTGTTTATTAAAACCATCATTTTTACAGCTGTTTATGGGCTTCCAGTGTCATGGCAACTCTTGTAAAATTGGACATAACTTTACAATGTTAGTAAGGGATTTTGTTTCAAACTAAAATCAGGCTAACACACATATTGTTTCAATCTCATGGTTACACTATTAAAATAATAAGCATTTTAACCTTTATGGACTGACCCTATTAACTTCCATTATAGAAACCACACAGTAACCCTGATGTTTGCTTTTTTTTAACAACAAGAGAAAGTGGAAATAACCTTGTACTGAAGCTAGAATATTTCTTTAAGTATTCATTTATTCCTTTTAGTTTCTCTACACATAAACATAAAACTAGAAGCTAAGTATAAGAATAAATACAAAGTGTCAACAATAGAATGAGATTTCATATTATAAAAAAAACTAAACAGACATCTTTCAGACTTTAAGTTTCACTTTTTGACCTACTATAAATGATTTGGTTCACATATCAATCAAACTGTGCTGCTGAACTGGGAATTCCTTCTAAACAAATCACGTCTGAAGCACATATTTCAAAATGAGCTATGAGCTTGAGCCGCTGGGAACCACCCTTCTGTCTAGAAGCATGATGGCGCAGAATACAGAAGCTATCAGTCAAAAATATCTGCTATATGACGTAAGAGCCACATTGTGTGTTGAGGGGGTCTGTCCATCTGCAGTCTAAAATAAACTGCTCTTCTGATATTGTAACCCCCTATTATATTTCAGTAGCTTGACAAAAGAAACAACCTAATGAAAAGAGTACTTTTCTTTGAAATGGTAACCTTGATGTTTTATGCAGCTAAACATCCTCTATGATAAAGATATCTGTTTTACTATCACAAAGGGTCGCGAATGTGCATTTCAGATCCCTTACAGAATGTCGAGGCCAGATTCCTGCAGGATTTCGATTCTTCATCGATTTTAATGTGAAAGACTTCATTTGTCTAGTACAGTGCACAAATGTTCAAATCTGCCAAGTCCCCCTTGTGTTTGCTTTTACTACAATTGTTAACAATGCTGTCGTTTTGGAAATATTAAATGTGCAATGTGATGACAGCTCCCTCAGGATAATATTCAAAACAGCAGGATCAAATGATCCAACTTCTAATTATCCAAGGGATTAAAATGCTTGCAGCTTTTGTGCATAGGCGTAAATACTACAATTTTGTACAATGCTTGTTTTGAGCAGGTGGGTGCAGCTTTTTTTGTGATGTTAGTTGATATATTCTGAGATTTTCCCAAAACATACACAAAACTAATAACAGCCTTACTTTTTCTTTAAAAGGTTAAATTCGAACATAGAGATGGGAACATTGGTGTGGAACAGAAGAGAGGAACAACTTACCTGAAGACTCAGAGCAGATGGAATGTGCAAGGAAATAAAAGAGACTAAAGAAAGGGAACTGAATATATAATGTCAGAACAAATTTATAATTTAAGGAAATTACTGATTGTCTACATGAAAGGACAGACTTACTATGGAAGTGAACAGCTAAGCAGAGGGTGTGTGCCAGGACAAGTGCAGTCATTTCACTATTATACTAGATTTAAAAAAAAAAAAAAAAAAAACTCTTATGATGAGGTGAAAGCCATATGAAACAACAACCTGATTTCCTCCGTGGCCTGGGATAATATGAAAGGGCACGGCCAGGCTTTTATCCCTGCCACATAACATTTAACACGAGCAGGCTTGAAACAGTGATCACAGGAATATGGGAAGGATAAATCATTTTGAGTGTTTGCCATGATCTCATCAGGGATGGGTTGTGAATAGGCTACACCCTGAAAACAATATGCAAATCCAAGAGGTACAGATCCTTATTCTTTTGTGCCTGGTTTGAACACCGTCTTCCCTCCCAGTCCGGGAATTTTCAGGAAAGGTATACCACCATGGCAGGAGGTGGTTTACCGGTCACTTTCTTTTATGGGATAAATTTGGTTCGGTTTAGCTCAACAGTCCCTCTAGTGGTTTTTACTGGTAATAAGTTAACAATATACATGTATGCAATAACTGTGAATTGACATGATTAACTATTTATCTGTAAATGAACACCTATCAAAATCTACACAAACATTGGTAAAGAGAGACTTATACTATATTTTTTGTTTGTGACTTTTTAATTGCATTGGTTATATGAAAACAATATTTTCGCATTTTATTTTTATTTATTCTATATGCATTATTTACATAAATAATATATTTATGTTAAAAAATTATCATATTATAATTTTTTACATACCCTATTTTTCAGAAAATCACGTAATTAAATATTACATCTGAATAATATTCTGTAGTATTCCACAGCTGTCTGTTGATTGGTTTTATTTTAACAGTTCAAGGCACAAATACATAATTTAATAATCTTAATGCTTATATGTCCTTTCCTATTAGGTGACCCCTCACAATTTTATTGTAGTGAATTTGTTTAATTTTCTAGTAATTTGCAAGCAAATGTGGATGACTAAAAATACATATTGATTTTATTTATATCACAATGCAACTAAAATATTTTCTCAAACCTGCATTTGCATTTACTGATTGTGTGCTGTTTAAAAATGTAAACACATAGGTCTATGTTAAACACATACTGTATGTACATTACAAATTCATGGAAAATGTATCAAGTACAACAAAGTAGGTAGTGCAAAAATAACTGTTTTTCTTTTTCTTAAGGAATGAATATTCTTTCATATAAAGTCACGGCTTAACAGAGGGTCACGATTTCAAAAGGCCTACCGCAATATGAAAAATTGGGTGGCATAATAGCAAAAAACTCTGTTTGATCATTTGTAACATTTTCTTTTCATATATACGATTAATGTGTCTCTCGTAAACCTTTCCTGGCACAGATTGTGTTTGTTCATGCACTCTTGTGTCCCACTTCTTTGTGAGGTAAAATCTTTGGTTACACTTTACTTGAAGGGGTGTGCATAAGACTGACATGACACCTTCATAATCATGACATGACACCTACATAATCATGACATGACACATGTCATGAATATGAAGGTTTGTTATGCATGTTTATGACAACTGTCATTAAGTGTCATTCGCTCAGTTATGTAATTTTTAATGCAAAGATGACATTGTTTGAGATGTCTTTGTTATGGGCTATGGTTAGGGGTAAGGGTAGGGGTAGGGTTAGGTTAGGGTTAGGTCAAATAATGTCATATTTGCATTAAAAATGACATAACTGAACGAATGACACTTAATGACAGTTGTCATAAACATGCATAAAACCTCCTTCATATTCATGACATGTGTCATGTCATGATTATGAAGGTGTCATGTCAGTCTTATGCACACCCCTTCAAGTAAAGTGTTACCAAATCTTTCATGAACTCTAATAGTCCGAATGTATTTACAAATCTAGTGCTAGTCTTAGCCACAAACAGAGAATAACTATTATATAACGGAATCCAGAATAGCAGCCAAAAAAGTGAATACGTCAAGTAGACTTCAATGTAATGGTGGAAATACTCACGGTGGCTCAGCAACAAACTCTGCCATGACTGTGTGTTTTCCATCCATTCACACCTGTCACCTGTAAGCAGTGAAATTATTTAACAATAATTTACAATTTTATATAATGTCTAAACTCTGAAGAGCAAATGTTTCACTTACACTTGCAGTTGGAAGTGCGCTCATATTATTTATTTGTTTTATTACACTGTGATATGGCTATATCTTTTTCAGTTATCAAATCCATTGTAGAAATTAAAATAATAATACTTAATAACACATAATAATACACTTAATAATAAAGCTTAATAACACATTTCTTTTCTAACTACAATAAAAACCTGTGAGCACAGGATTTTTAAGCAAAATTGTATATTAGTTGAAACATCACAAATGATTTCTATGGACAATTGTTACATGACAGCTGAACTTGACCTAATAATCCTGCATAGCTTGGAAAATAATAATAATAATAATAATTCATTATAAATATATATACAAATATTTCATAACAGTTAATACAATATGTACGTTTCGTTTAAACATTTCGTTTAACAAAATAAGTATTTGTTGGGTTTAGTTTTTTTTTTTTGTACATCATATAATAATAAATGAAATAATCTAAGAAACTTAGTTTTGCATTGTTTATGCTCAGTATCACTGGCCCGCGGTGAAACTGCTTTATTTCATTTAGTATTAATTCAATGTCTTTCCTCAGTGACGTTACTGGATTTTTATTGCTTACTTGACATCATTTTCCCTCTATGACACTGGCTTTTAAAATCTAATTTCCATGAGTTTACCAGTAAATTAAATTGGCTGTTATTAGTTTGACGCTTTTTGAAGAAGATTCGCAATGTGGTACCAGAGCGTGTGACGAAGGACGGCTGTAAGATCCTATTTGTGTATTGAAATGCCAGTCATTTTGTACAGTATTCTGATTGGTTCAAACGAAGCACCACCTACTTAAATAATCCAATAACTTCCGCTGACGATTTTTGAATGCAGAGCGGTTAATGTTGGTTTACGACTCATAAGGGCAAAGTAGCAGAAAAATACTTGTCTCATTCTTGACATAGAAACGTTCGCAAAAAACTACAATTAACAAACTATAATCTGAGATGGATCCTGCGTTGTCGAAGCTTCTTATCGGGCTCGCTGTCAATATAAGTCGTAGTGATGGTAAGATGCTTGTTTGCTAGCTGCTAACGTTAATCTTTTACAGACACAAACTGCATCATGAAATCAGTTGATGTTAAAAATCAAATCAAATAATCGCAAATTAAACTTAATACGTACCATTGCAACACATAGTGATTGCTGGCAGTGGAAGGTTTCTAAAGTTTCAACGTTGCACGAAAAAAACAACATAAATGTGTATCTAAATTAAAAAATATGTAAATAATGCAAAACACAACCTGTCATTTCTACTTGGGATCCCTATGTCTTGTAGGATTGCTAGTTAATGACTGAAACATACACACTCTAATTGGCAGGGATCGTTTTAAAAGGATAATTTACCAAATACAGGTGCATCTCAATAAATTAGAATGTCGTGGAAAAGTTCATTTATTTCAGTAATTCAACTCAAATTGTGAAACTCGTGTATTAAATAAATTCAATGCACACAGACTGAAGTAGTTTAAGTCTTTGGTTCTTTTAATTGTGATGATTTTGCCTCACATTTAACAAAAACCCACCAATTCACTATCTCAGCAAATTAGAATATGGTGACATGCCAATCATCTAATCAACGCAGAACACCTGCAAAGGTTTCCTGAGCCTTCAAAATGGTCTCTCAGTTTGGTTCACTAGGCTACACAATCATGGGGAAGACTGCTGATCTGACAGTTGTCCAGAAGACAATCATTGACAATCTTCACAAGGAGGGTAAGCCACAAACATGAATTTATTTAATAGACGAGTTTCACAATTTGAGTTGAATTACTGAAATAAATGAACTTTTCCACGACATTCTAATTTATTGAGATGCACCTGTAAATAAAATAAAATATTGTAATTTACACTTAATGTCTTAACTCATGTTCTTCCCATATGATTTGGCTTCTTTTGAAAAACACGAGATGTTGGGCTGAATGACATCCAAAATGTATTGTAAGGAAAACAGAGATGCAATAAAAGTGAATAACACTGCCTGTTTTCCACCACTGAAGAAGTCAGTCATGAATGATCTCAAAGTTCAACCAAGAGAATGCTGTTTGTTTCCCGTCAATGCAGGAAGAATACACAGTGCCACTGTGAAAACGGCCAATGTCACTAAATCTACAGTGAATGTGGAATGGGCTGAGAAGGGCATTACTAAAGGAAAAGAGGTTGGTACTGAATTTGTTGTAACATGAGAAGTTTTCCACTGCATAAAGCAGTTATTAGAATTTTGGCCACAGGTTTTGTTGGTATTTGCACGTGTACAGCCAAAGCTCTAGGATGTCATGCTTCACTAGATTAATAAACCGATTCTCCCCTAGGTTGACATGGATGAGCTTAAGCAACTCAATTCTGACCTTATGCAACACCTTCAACCAAGCCGCCAAGAGAAGCCTGAGTCAGCACCTGGCCATTTCGCTGCACCTGTGTCAAAACCAGCAAAAGTGAGTCCTGTATTTCTTTTCTAAAATTCTTATTTGTTCAAAATGCACATTTGGTTTTTTAAATTTGATTCAAGTATTGACTATCCACAGTCCACACTGTCGTTTCACAAAGGATTAAATTGAATCCATTTGTTCAGACAGTATTTTCAATATCTGGTATGTGCATGTTAGTTACCATGGTAATGCTATAGGCATCAGCACAATGTCTAGACACCTTCTTCTACAAAAACTGAGAGAAGCTGTCAATGTGAAAAAAGAGGAAGACCAGTGCTGCTGAATGAAAAAGGCATATGAGAAAACATAAGCAGTACTTTATTCCAAGCACATTGATGCACTGTATCTGAAATCACCCAGACATTTTTATTGCATACCAATCACATTTGGCAATTTTGAGTTAGCCCCACCCATGTGCATGCTGCCTCAGGGGATTTCATACAAAGACACCCCAAAACTTTGGTGTTTCAGGACCCTTCAGAAATACACACATTTCTGCAGTGTTCAGCCATTTCTTTGGTAAATACACTAATATTATGTCAAATAAGAGATAAATGTATTGTTTTTTGTGTACGAACAAATAGTACTTTATCATTTTCCTTTAAATGTAAAGATGAGTTTTATTAGCTTGCACAAAGCTAATCTCAAGGTCAAACCGTTAGCCTTACTGAAAGACAGACTGCCAATGAATTAAACATGTGAACTACAACACTGTTTTTTATTCATTTTGTGTTAAGTTATTCATTTTTATTCGTTTGTGTTTTTTATTCATTTTATGTTAAGTTACAAATAAATGCACCATAAATTATATAGAACATATTATTTTTAATAAATTAACTATTTTTAAAGATGGGCTTAAATGGTACAGTGCCACAAAACATATGCCTACTATAGCCGACACAAGCTAACCTTAAATAAAAAAAAAATTAACATTGAAAATGACTATGATGTATAGTCCACAGTATATTTAAAGGGGTCATATGATGCTGCTAAAAAGAACATTATTTTGTGTATTTGGTGTAATGAAATGTGTTTATGCGGTTTAAAGTAAAAAAAAAAAACACAATATTTTCCATATACTGTACATTATTGTTGCTCCTCTATGTAGGCCTGTCACGATAACAACTTTTTGTTGTGCGATATATTGCCCCAGAAATAATTGCGATAATTGATATTATTGTCATTTTAAAGACCATTTTATGCCACTGAATATATAATCATAATGTAAAAGCATAATAATGCAAGAAGGCCTACACACTTCCAAATGACAACAAACTTTTCATTTTTAAGAATATTTAGATCATGGAAATTAAGTATCAAAATATTAGATACCTTAAAAAACCTGAATAAATAGTAAATATTTTCTAACAAAAAGTGCAAAGTAGACAAATAGAAAAATGCACAAAGAACTTGTATGGAGATTTTTCAATCTACAGATTTTCCCTGACCTTCTTTTCTCTGTAAATGAAGGGTGCACACTATTGCTGAAACACACACAAACTACTCAGCAGTCAGATGCCCGTATGCACAAAGGCACAGATCCCTAAACAAGACCATATCTGCAGACGGCCTAGCGTGAGGGGAAGCCCCGGCTTAGCGTGAGCTGAGGCCGGACTATAGTGAGCTGAGGCGGCGGGGTCGAGAACGGCGCGCCCGGCGGATCCGACGAATGAGCGGCAACCACATGTGACGACCCCAGGCTGGATTCCGCTTCGTCCACGGTGAAAGTTGATGTATTCCCTCAGCGACCAGCACAGATCAGCTCTAGGCATGACGAAGCAGATATCGTCCTCTTTTGGAAGACCAAACAAAGTAGTTTCGCTTTCACAACGAAGCACACAGCGTCTTCACGACATGGCTGCAGCGTCAACAAAACTACAGTGAGACTAAAAGTTACGCCTTCTTTCTTTGCGTGAACATTTGGGCGGCGTTATGCAAATCTTCCCACATAGTGAGGTAGATATGTGGGGGCGTGTTAGAACGAGCCGTTTTAGGTAGGTGTGGCTGACTCTTAACTTTTATAAAGAATATCTCTTTGGATTTGAGACTTTAGTCTTTGCAACTTTACAGATCTTCTTTATGCACCAAGAGCTTGTAACACTCCAAAGAGAAAGGAAAAATTGAAATCGCATCATATGACCCCTTTAAGTTCCATGCATGTTTTTATAAACATATCTTACATTTTAAAAGGAAAGCATTGTCTTTTTTCACCATTACTCACTGTGGAACCATTTAAGCCCACTTTGTTTTTCAATGAGGAATTCCTCTAATTGCAAACTTTGATCAATTTTCTGTGTTGTGTTCTGTGTTGTAGTGTTTAATAACAGTTGTGTGCTTTTATCTTACTAACCTTTTACCTTAACTTACTTATTATGGAGAGACCTACAAATTGCACACTGTTTAGCACCATTATATAATAGATGTCTGCTAATGTGTATCATTTGTTTTCAGCGAGAAAATGCCGAAAAAGAGAAAAGACTACAGCACCTGTCCAAAAATCATAGAGGCATGTCACCTTTATCATGAGGGCACAATAAAAAACTTGTCTATACTAGCAAAACAGTGTGGACAGAAAGTATTTGAGGGAGAGAGAGGTTGAATGTTATTGGTACAGGTGATGAGTGCTAGCAAACATTAGTAAAAACTTTTTTTTTTTTAAATACTTCGCTCTCACTGAATAAATATATTTATGTTTTACTTCTTTAAAATAAATAAATGTTCATATTTTTGTGAATCATTCATGATGTGGGCTTATTTGGAACACATGCGGGCTTAAATGGTGCCGAAGTACCAATTAAGCCCATGCCAGACTTTTGACATTATTCATAAAATATTTTAATTGTATATTCTAAAATGTACATAAACTATTTAATACATTTTAAAATGAGAGATAAATCATTAATTTTAACAAATTATTTTTCTTATAAACAATGTCTATATCTATGAAAAACACCTAAACTTAGACTTTGGTGGGCTTTAATGGGTACACTTACCCTACCTACAACACTGCTCAGAAAATCAGATTTCATTGCGTCATTCATAAAGTTTTTTTTGTTTATTTCAGAACGTCAGAGCATCAGAGCTTCATTTAAGGTCATCAAGAATACCTACTGCTTTAGAACGTAAGTTATGTTTGTTGTACAAATTCATAGTTGGTCTCCTGACCTGCACCAGTGTAAACTTATGCTGTGTCTCCCATTTGAAGCTGGTCCTCAGGATTGTTCGTCTGAAGAGTCAGGTTTGCATGAAGTGCATGCTTTCTTCATGTTCTCTAATCACACACATTATGGTTGAATTATAACACTTAATCAGGGTGTCTCTTCCCACTTCTATCCACATGATCTTTTCTACAAATTATCTGCTTATAGAAATCAAAAATAGTCTTTAAATGACTGTTTCTGTCAGTCCAGAGAGGTCTCATATGGCAGAGATAGTCATTAGTTCTAGCAGCGATCAATGCACTTTGGATAATGGTTTCTCACTTTTGGTTTTATGTAACAATAATTGTTCTTTTCATCCATTTAAAAGTTACTTTCTGTACTGTTTTTCTGCACATTGTCAGATACTATAAGGGTGATACTGTTGTCCAAATATATTGCGGATTGAAATAGTCATAACAAACATTTTTGGAGATTCTTGTACTGTCCATAGAATCACCTTTGGATTGATTGGCAATGTTGACCATGGAAAGCTCTTTATTCTACTCTATTCTAGTTTTGAATAATAAACATGAATAATAAATCACACTGTATTTCAGAGAGTTCACATAACATAATTTCGTCCCCTTTCAGCTTCTAGTAGGATGACCACACGTCAGACTTGCTTGTTCCGACAGCCTGGCCCTCCACCTGTGGTCTCTGCAATGGCTGCAGAGGAAGTTCTCTCTCACGATCTTCCCTCATCTACGATCCCTAAACCTTCAGGTATGTCTAGACAGTACATCAGCATGATATTAAAGGGTTAGTTCACCCAAAAATGAAAATTAGCCCACAAATTACTCACCCTCAAGTCATCCTAGGTGTATATGACTTTCTTCTTTCAGACGAATCCAGTCGGAGTTATATTAAAAATTGTCTTTAATCTTTCAAGCTGTTTAATGACACTCAGTGCGTGTTGCATGCATCAATCCAAAAGAAGTTAAATAAAAAGCGACCATCCATAAAAATAAAAAAAAGTGTCTCTCACGGCTCCGGGGGGTGAACAAAGGCCTCCTGTAGCGAATCGATGTGTTTTTGTAAGAAAAATATCCATATTCAAAACGTAATAATCACTTTAATGTAGCTTGCGCCAACAGTCCTACACGGAAGCAGTTCCGGGCGGATGACGTATGAGTTCAGAGTTGCGCATGCACCGCTCAGAAGTGACGCATGCGGAAGCGCAGGGGAGAGATCAAAACAAAACACCGATCACTTATTAGAAGTACAAAACGAAGATTTGTAAAGAATGTCAGAGGATTTCGATATAAGCCAAGAGGAGACTTTTTGAGACTTTTTTGCTAAAGTAAGGAAACTTTGCTTCCTTTGCTCCTGTTAACAAACGTTGGTTTTCACGAGACTCACCGGCGCATGTGCAACGCTGAACTCATACGTCATCCGCCCGGAGCTGCTTCCGTGTAGGACTGTTGGTGCAAGCTACGTTAAAGTGATTATTACGTTTTGAATATGGATATTTTTCTTACAAAAACGCATCGATTCGCTACAGGAGGCCTTTGTTCACCCTCCGGAGCCGTGTGAGAGAGTTTTTTGTTTTTATGGATGGTCGCTTTTTATTTAACTTCTTTTGGACTGATGCATGCAACACCCGCTGAGTCCCATCAAACAGCTTGAAAGATCAAAGACCATTTTTTATATAACTCCGACTGGATTCGTCTGAAAGAAGAAAGTCATATACACCTAGGATGACTTGAGGGTGAGTAATTTATGGGCTAATTTTCATTTTTGGGTGAACTAACCCTTTAAGATATACAGTGTAGTATCAAGTTGTTTTGCATTGGAATTAACTGATATTGATGTATCCTGTTTGAGGTGAGTGGACTGTCAGCTTGGAGACGGCAAAAAATCATTGTCAAAACATCTTGCATATTTCATTAAGTTGCTATCTGGATTGTTAGTTTACCAGAGGAGACTTGTTTCGAAGCCAGCTTCTCCTCTGCTACCAACCGCTGAGGCTATTTGTGAGAGTGAGGCTTCCAAATGTGCCCCCATGGGTCCACCAAGTATGTACTGTTTTGGTTTTGTCATGCTTTCACATTATTGATGTGGTGGTTAGTAACATCTACAACACTTGACTTATTTTGACTTTTTAACTTTTAGGCCATCGCATGTCTCAGGTCTCAGAAACAAACAAGATGGCAAACAAACGGTTGTCTCTAGCAAAAAATTCTGAAGCACAGAAGAGAGGAAAGGTACCTTAAATAATTATTGTTGTTCAATTTACTGAACCATTCAGGTACGTTTACACAACAACGATTGTATTCAAATCTGAAATGTTTTTCCTTTGCTGTTTTAAAAACGTTTCGCATGCAGATGACGGTTTTCACAATTTTGCTTTTTTTTTTTTTTTTTTTACTGTTATCGCAGAGACAATAACAGTATCGTGTTTAAAAACCTGTTTTCAGAAGTTTGCTTTTTCAAGCTCCCAAAACATTGTCGTGTAAATGAACAGCTAAAATGCATAAAGTTTTCCGTTTTTAGTTGAAAACGTTATTGTGTAAACGCCCATTCAAAGCATTTTTTTTCCTGCTGCATTGGACTTAAATTAACAATCTGATTTATTTATTTCTATTATTTTTGTATGTAGCATTTGATAACTTCATTATTTAGTTTTATTTATTATTATAATGTTTATTATTTTATAATTAATAATTATTTAATTTTCTTCTGTATGGTCACATTTATTCTTGTAGTCTTGAAGTCTGTGAAATTTGCTCCATCCAATTTTTCTCCATCCAATTCAATTTTTGTTCCTAGTTTGGAGATACAAGTCGACCTAATAAGCAGTTTTACCAGATGATTGAGGAATACAGAGAGACCCTGGAGAAAGTACCCATGTCCTTGTCTGATCCTGTGAGTTAATGAGCATAATATTAATATCAACATACAAGAATTTCATATTTTAACACAAGATGTATCTTTTAGGTCAAACCTCACCGAATATGTGTCTGCGTTCGCAAACGTCCGCTAAATAAAAAAGGTAGGTTGCTAATTTGACCTCTCTTAAAGGCACAATATGAACGTTTTCGCCGCTAGAGGTCGCATTTTCAAAACCATAACAAAGGCGAAGCTTGATGACGCTATGAAGGAGGATGTTCACGGATGAGGTACATTTTTTTTTTTTTATTACCTGTACCTTCCACAGTTATTTAAACCGCAATAAATTATACAGAGAAATCAAGCAAAGAACATTTACATTGTCAAAGAACATTATGACTGTCTTTGGTCTAGCGCGAAAAAACTCCCCTTATAATCAGTAAAGCTGTCTATACACGGTTTTATGAATGAATCTCTTACATCATACGTACATCCGCACTTTGTTTATGATGAGAGAATTCGTGTGAGAGCTGAATTCAGTCAGCGAGCAAAAAACTCATCTGAACGCCTCTGATTGGCCATTGCCTTCATAAGCTCAACGGACTCGTGTGTGATTGGTTATAATGCACAACACTGTAAAAACGCGTTAAAAAATCATGGTGCAACATTGAGCAGATCTAAATTTAATGCTGCGGTCAACACTTTTCATTTTCATTTTCACTTTATTCACGACAGCCGTAATGGATTAGTTTAACTGCAGCAGCATTTGTGTCCATGTGTTGCCATAGTTTCTACAAGCAGAAACTGAGGATATGCGGAGATTATGTCATTGATAGGCGACAATGACCAGGGACGAGTCATTATTGAAAATTGGAATTTCTATGGATTTACAAATCCTTGGGAACTTTTGGGATAACTTAAGTACACAACTGCATGAAATATATCACACTGCAAGTAGTTTTTGGATATTTTATTACGAAAATCTTACATATTGTGCCTTTAATGAAATCAAATTGATTCTTTGCGAGTTTCTTACGCATTTCTCATTTATTTGTGTTTAGAATTGGCAAAGAAAGAGATTGATGTGGTCACAATCCCTGGTAATGGAGCCCTGCTGTTGCATGAGCCCAAGCAGAAAGTGGATCTAACCAAGTACCTAGAGAATCAGACCTTTCATTTTGATTACTCGTTCGATGAAGATGCCACTAATGACTTGGTTTACAGGTAGATGCTTGTTTAGAGTTTCTGTTTGGTATTTATTATCATTTATCATGTTAATTACCATCCATGAACATGACAAGTGTTGTTTATTCAAGGATCAGTTTACGATCTAATCTGTCATTTCAAACCTTTTTTTTTTTATTTTTTTTTTTATTATTTTTTGGAGAAACTGAAACAATGCTTTATTATTTGCATGGAATAGTAACTGATGACGGAATTTACGTTTTTGGAGGATTTTTCCTAAATAATGGAATATTATTTTGTTATAAACATGGCAGTTTATTCAGTATTAATGTTTAATACAGAAAATATTCAAATGGTTATGAATTGAACCTTTAGGTTCACCGCTAAACCTCTGGTTAAGACCGTTTTCGAAGGTGGTATGGCGACATGCTTCGCATATGGCCAAACAGGCAGTGGAAAAACCCATGTAAGTTGTTTTGTTTGTGCTCCCATAACAAAATTCCCAAACATTTTTCCATGTTCTTCATCTAAAGCGTTATTTACAGACTATGGGTGGAGACTTTTCTGGAAAGAGCCAAAACAGCTCTAAAGGGATTTACGCCCTGGCAGGTGATTGTAACTGTCAAATGTACTTTACATAGTGGCCTGTTACGTTTATCCATGTTTACTTATGCATTAATCCCTCTGCATACCTCACAGCACAGGATGTATTTACCCTCCTAATGCAAAAGAGATATGCTGATATGGACCTTTGCCCGTATGTCACCTTTTTTGAGATCTACAACGGCAAGGTTTGTACATATTGTATTACATGTTTCCAAAACAATTCTGTAATGTCTTGTCAAACAGATGGTGGAGTTTTTGCTTTTCTGTCATTTAAGTGCAAATAAACCTCAAATTTCCAAATGCCTAGACTAGTGTACTTTATATGCTCAATTAAACAAGTGTGGTATTAGTATTTGGTTTTATGCTGATTTGAGTTTTGATTGTGGTTGTAAGCATAAAGTACTTGTTCAGGCACGATGGTGAACTGTTTGTGTGCTGCAGGTGTTTGACTTGTTGAATAAGAAAGCAAAGCTGCGTGTTTTGGAGGATGAGAAGCAGCAGGTCAATGTTGTTGGCCTGCAGGAAGTGCCCGTGTCATCTGTTGATGATGTCATCAAGATGATTGAGAGGGGAAGTGCATGCAGGTAAATATTAATCATTAAAATTTAAAAATATTAATAATTTTTAAATGAACCCTTTAAATGTAATTTGTCTTAAATGACTGTTTATGCTATAGCTCTGTTATTTTAGAATTATGTATATGCTTTTATAGTGTTTTGTAATATTTAGATTTTATTTATATATGTGTATATGTATGTGTGTGTATGTATATGTATGTGTGTGTGTGTGTGTGTGTGTGTATATATATATATATATATAAGGGTTTTTACTGTAAATCATATTCTTCTATAAATGACAAAAGATTTATTGCATTTTTCTTTTTCGTCACTTTGAGGGCTTTTGTATAAGGAACAAGCTCATTATAAAATGCACAAAAAGTTGGTTTCACTTTGAAGTACTTAGATTTGTGTATTTAAAATTTTCCCAGCAGAAGTATGTTGTTAATAACGAAGTCATCTGTTACCGTCTGTTCGGGGAGAACTTATAGACCACAATATCAGTGTGATCTTGCGTTATTTCCTCATCACTTCTCGTGTACGTTTGGTTGTGAAACATAGTTTGCGAACCAGACAGTTGTTGGCGATTCTTCCTATTGTGAAGTCATGCCATGTGGAACCTCCTGTCGCCGATCCATCGTGCAATGTGAACACAGCAGCAACTGAATGCTACCCCAGATAGTCGTGCGGTGTGAAAACAACGATGATCCGATGATTTTGGGCAGTTTTAATTTGAGTAATCTTATGTGCTTTTGACATGATTTCTGTATGGCTTTAATTTTATTTGACCTTTAGTTTATTTTAGTCATTTCCGTTAGTTGACTAGGCAACATTTATTCTTATTTCTAAGTTTTTCATCTAATATTTATTTCATTTTAGCCTTATTTCATTTACCAAAAACTTTTTAATAGTTTGAATGAACAATAACAACTATACCTCACCTCATAACAGAACGTCTGGCCAAACGTTTGCCAATGCCAGCTCATCGCGTTCACATGCGGTTTTGCAAGTAATTCTAAGGCGGCGGAATTTTCTCCATGGGAAGTTCTCTCTGGTGGACCTTGCTGGGAATGAGCGTGGCACTGATGTCAGCAATAACGATCGGCACACCATAGTGGAGACCGCAGAGATCAACCGCAGCCTGCTGGCTTTGAAGGTGCTTTGTCTACTGTCTAGTGTCTACCTCACCAAATAGGTCATCTCTATATTGGTGTTTCTTTTAAATTCACATTATTTTTTCCAAATTTGATCAAATTACATATACATTTACATTTAGTCATTTAGCAGACGCTTTTATCCAAATCGACTTGCAAATGAGGACAGTGGAAGGTGTGAAAACAACGATGATCCGATGATTTTGGGCAGGTCATTCCACCAGGAGGAAACATTTAATGTAAAAGTCAGTGAAAGTGATTTTGTCTCTCTTTGGGATGGCACAATAATGTGCCGTTCACTTGCAGAACACAAGCTTCTAGGGGGCACATAAGTCTGAAATAATGAATTTAGCTAAAGGGGTGCAGAGCCAGTGGTGGTTTTGTAGGCAAACATTATAACGCAGTACACGTAGCAAGTTTTTTTTTATTTTTTATTATATAATAAAAATGAAACTAACACTACAATAAGGTGTCATTCGTTAACATTACTTAATGTATTAATTAACATGAACGAACAATGAACACTACATTTATTACACTTTATTAATCTTTGTTAATGTTAGTTAATAAAAATACAGTCGTTCATTGTTTGTTCATGTTAGTTCACAGTGCATTAACTAATGTTAACAAACAACTTGTGATTGCATTAGTAAATGCTGAAATTAACATTAACTAGAATTAATAAATGCTGTAGAAGTACTGTTCATGCTTGGTTCATGTTAACTAATGTTGTTAACTAATGAACCTTATTGTAAAGTGTTACCAATAAAACAGATAGAAAAGAAAAAGAATAGAGAAAGCTAGTGTTAGAGGCCTTTTTTCTTTTTTTCTTTTTTTTTTTAATTGTATAATTAATAAAACGAAAACAGAATACAAAAAGATTAGAGAAGCTACTGTTCGTTTTTTTTTTTAAGAAAGCAAGCCGTAAGTAAATGAATAGAATGTCTAAAAGGGGCATGTTTTTTTGTTTTTTTTAAAGAATAGAATTAGAATAGAGACTGCTAGAGTTATAAGGTCAAATAAAGATGGAGTAGATGTTTTTAGCCGATTCTTGAAGATGGCTAATGCCGAGTTAACACTGTGATTTTAGCCCTGATTTCGAAATCGCCAACAAATGCCCGAAATCGGAGGCAAATCGGTGCTCCTTCACGTGAGTGACAATCACGCAGTGTGAATTATCAAAGACGCGATTGTGTTCTTTTCGGCTCATTAAAAATTAATATTGCAGCCACGTTTATTTCAGTTTATTAAATAAATTTATTAAAATAATAAATTTATTTCTTTATTAAATTTAGCTCTTTTTTTAAATTTTTTACAGTTAAAGCTGAGGTGGTTATTTATACAGCTGATGATTATAGCTTTTGTTTGCTGCTCACTTATATTGCAAGAAACCCATTTTTGTCTGTACCCATTTTTTTTTACCCTTTTTATAAACCCAAAGGTACTTACAGTTTTAAAGCAATAGGTTGTTCATGTCTTACCTGACTCCTCAGGAATGTATCCGGTCTCTGGGTCAGAACAGCGAGCACATCCCGTTCAGGATGAGCAAACTCACCCAGGTGCTTCGGGATTCCTTCATTGGAGAGAACTCTAGGACCTGCATGGTAAGAGTGAGCTAGGGTGATTATTAATTTTCGCCTGTGTGTGTTTTAGGGCTCGAATTGAATGCTATTATTTATTGTAAAATGAATCTCCTTCTGCATTCTGCCTGTTTCAGATCGCAATGATCTCACCGGGTATGAGCTCTTGTGAATACACTCTGAATACACTACGTTATGCAAACAGGTGCTTTTTATCTTCCTCGATTTGAACTGATGTTGCTCTGATTGACTGAGAAGGCCCTCTGGTGGTGCGATTTAGGTATTACAATCATTTGTGGGTGTTTCTGACAGGGTAAAAGAACTGAATGGTGTGTCTAAGGGAGCTTCAGTGGAGAATGGTACAAAACTAGAGCTTTCTGAGGAAGGAGACTCCTCAGAGGAGGTGAGTGAATCAGGCTGTGCATATTAAATTTAAGTGGCAGGACTTTCCTCAACAACTCTTAAGGCCCGGTTTCACAGACGGGGCTTAGACTAAGCCAGGATTAGGCCATAGTTTAATTAGGACATTTAAGTTATTTTTTATTAACATGCCTTAGCAAAAAGCATTACTGGTGTGCATCTTGAGACAAAACAAAGGCACTGATATGTTTTAAGATCAGTCAGTGTAAGTTTCTTTCAGTTGAAACCGCTCAGAATTGTATCAATAATTTAATCAAGAATTATTATAATTATTATAATCCTGCTGTGTGAAATGAGTTCTGACTGAAACACACATTGGCGATGACCTACAGCCAATGAGAGAGCAAGATACAGGGCAGAGGGAAGTTCGGGGAGGAGTTATAGACCAGAATATCAGTATTTTAATAGATATATGAACGTGAATACACTCTGAATACACTACGTTATGCAAACAGGTGCTTTTTATCTTCCTTGATTTAAACGCATGTTACTCTGATTGACCTAGAAGGCCCTCTGGTGGTGCGATTTAGGTATTACAATCATTTGTGGGTGTTTCTGACAGGGTAAAAGAACTGAATGGTGTGTCTAAGGGAGCTTCAGTGGAGAATGGTACAAAACTAGAGCTTTCTGAGGAAGGAGACTCCTCAGAGGAGGTGAGTGAATCAGGCTGTGCATATTAAATTTAAGTGGCAGGACTTTCCTCAACAACTCTTAAGGCCCGGTTTCACAGACGGGGCTTAGACTAAGCCAGGATTAGGCCATAGTTTAATTAGGACATTTAAGTTATTTTTTATTAACATGCCTTAGCAAAAAGCATTACTGGTGTGCATCTTGAGACAAAACAAAGGCACTGATATGTTTTAAGATCAGTCAGTGTAAGTTTCTTTCAGTTAAAACTGCTCAGATTTACACTTTAGTCTGGGACTAGGCTTAAGCCTTGTCTGTGAAACCAGGGGTTAGTTTCTGAAGTTATAATTTTAACCAGTTGCCTTTATTTCTGAATGAAATGAATTATGAATGTATAGCAATTTATTATAACGTAATAGTTTCTATTGTGGGTTTATAATCTAATCCAATTTAAATAACTGTCTTGAGTCTTGAAATACATTTTATGTATTTAGAGTCTGAGAAATGTGGTACAAAACCGCTAAAATTTACGTATTTCGTATTTTTCTGTTCTCCCAGCGTTTGAGGCTATATCCCAAGTGTCTGAGATGGAGGAGAGGTTTTATGAAGAACTGAAGGTTTGTAGCTTTCTTGTAACCTGCTCTGAGTGGGCAGCTTTGTTTTAAACCTCACAATCATTCAAAAAGTTGCAAAACTCCCCAAAGCAATCAAGTTACAAAACGCCTTTTGCTATTTGTTTACCCCTGAATGCATTTCTTCAGACAAGCATTTTTTTAAACGGCTCAGAGACCTTGGTTGAGTCATAAGATAAGTGGGTTTTGTGTTCATCTCTTTCTCATTCCTTTTCCAGGGGTGCAGTGAGGTTGCAAGATCTATGGAATATCCCTCGTTTGATATCGTAGCAAATTTACCAGAGATTGACACATTCATGAGGAAACTGCAAGGTATTTCATTGTAATCCAAATAGACGCATACATTACCATTCAAAAGTTTTTTACGTGGTTTTTGAGAGATGTTTCTCATGCTCATACAGTAATATTGTGTAACATTAGTACAATTCAAAATAGCTGTTTTCTATTTTAATACATTTTAGAATGTAATATATTCCTGTGATGGTATAGCTGAACGTTTAGCAGCCATTACTCCAGTCTGCAGTGTTACATGAAC